GTAGTTGTCATTGTTGTTCGGCAGGCCTGGGCTGGGTTTGAACCTGCCAGCCCTGGTGTACGTGGCCAGCACCCTAACCTCTGAGCTACAGGCGCCGAACCAAAAAAGAAACTGTTATAGATGATTTATGAACTTGTTGGTCAGGCAGAGTGATGGGTAGTTCATGATTTGCAAGGATAGTTAAACAAGATAAATTTCAAGATTCCTTCAAGTGTTTATGACTCTAAAAATAGACTTTATTGGTGAAATTAAATATTAGCTAAAATAGGATTCAGAAGAAAACAATTTTATTTTATTTGAGACAGAGTCTCAGTTTGTTGCCCCTAGTAGAGTGCTGAGGCATCACAGCTCACAGCAACCTCAGACTCTTTTTTTTTTTTTTTTGAGACAGAGCCTCAAGCTGTTGCCCTGGGTAGAGTGCTGTAGTGTCACAGCTCACAGCAACCTCCAACTCCTGCCTCCACCTTTTAAGTATCTGGGATTACCGGTGCCTGCCACAATGCCTGGCTTTTTTTTGGTTGCAGCCCTCATTGTTGTTTGCCGGGTCCAGGCTGGATTCGAACCCACCGGCTCAGGTGTATGTGGCTGGCGCTTTAGCCATATGTGAGCCATAGGCACTAAGCCAGCAACCTCAGACTCTTGAGCTCAAGCAATTCTCTTGCCTCAGCCTCTCGAGTAGCTGGGACTACAGGCGCCCACCACAACACCCGGCTATTTTTTGGCTGCAGTTGTCGTTGCTGCTTAGCAGGCCCGGGCTGGCCTTGAACCCGCCAATCTCAGTGCATGTGCTGGTGCCCTACTCACTGAGCTATGGGCACTAAGCCAGAAAACAATTTTTTGAATAAGCACATATAAATACATAAATTTCCCCAGCTGATCTAGACTGATACTTTTTATTTTTAATTTTTAATAAAACTTTTTTTTTTAAACAGACAAGGTCTCTGTCTGTTGCCCAGGCTGGTACAATCATAGCTTATTACAACATCAAACTGCTGGCCTCAAGTGATCCTCTCACCTCAACCTCTCAAAATTCTGGTGTTATGGGCATGAGCCACAGTGCACAGCCAAGACTGATACTTTTTAATATAATGAATATCCTACATAAAATTTTATCTTAGACAAATTTTATCCTAGATAAAATTCTTTTTTTTTTAGAGATAGAGTCTCACTTTGTTGCCCTCAGTAGAGTGCCACGATGTCACAGCTCACAGCAACCTCCAGCTCTTGGGCTTAGGTGATTCTCTTGCCTCAGCCTCCCACGTAGCTGGGATCACAGCTGCCTGCCACAATGCCTGGCTATTTTTTGTTGCAGTTTGCCCGGGGCTGGGTTTGAACCCCCCACCCTCAGTATGTGGGTCTGGCACCCTACTCACTGAGCCACAGGTGCTGCCCCTAGATAAACTTCTAACTTACAAATTAATGCTGCTTTATTTATGTCCTAAATAGTATCTGGCAGTTCAACAAGAGTCATAAATTGAAACTGCAAAGTATAATCAATACAAAGCATCTTGAGAGAGAGATCTCAAATATTTATATAGGGAATTAAAGTACTGTAAGTTTAAAGACAAAGGTACACAGATGAACAATAGACTTAGGCTTAATAGTTTTCAAATTTAACTAAAAAGCCTACTTTTGTTCAGGGCACAATTCTCACAAAAAGAAGTTTATCCTTGAAAATTTTGTTTTCAGAATCTCACTGCTGAAATAAAACAAATAGCTGAATTCTTTGGATTCTCTCTGACTGAAGAACAAATTGGAACTATCTCAGCCAAGAGCACCTTCCAAGCAATGAGAGCAAAATCTCAGGACACACACGGTGCAGTCGGCCCCTTCCTGTTCCGCAAGGGTAGGTTTGCATCTGTTTCTGGGATATCACATCCCTGAAGTCCGTTTGGGACCAGCTTAGCACACAACAGGCAACCCAAATAACACTATCTTAAATAACACAGGGTTTTATTTTTCTCTCTCTCAGTAAGAAGTCTGGACACATGCATCCCAGAGCTGTCACAGGAAGCTCCACACTATGGCTTAGAGTACTAAGTTCCTGCCACTTTTCTGCTTGTCACCTTGTGATGACAAGATGGCACCTGGAACTCAACCGTTATGTTCAAGTTCTAGGTTGCAGGTAGGAAGAAGAGAGTAAGCAAGGGACATGCGTATAAGCTGAGTGACCCCCTTTGAAGAGTTTTCCTGAAAGCCCTGTTCAGTGACTTCTTGCTCTCTTCCCTGCAGTGGTGGCTATGAAATGTGACTCTTTTTTTAAAGCTGGGCACATACTACCCAATTCAAATCAGGGTTTTGTTAAGAAGGAAGAAGGAGGTTCGGCACCTGTGGCTCAAGTGGCTAAGGTGCCAGCCACATATACCTAAGGTGACCGTTCGAATCCAGCCCAGGCCCGCCAAACAACAATGACAGCTGCAACTAAAAAATAGTCGGGCATTGTGGTGGGTGCCTGTGGTCCCAGCCACTTGGGAGGCAGAGGCAGGAGACTTGCTTGAGCCTAGGAGTTGGAGGTTGCTGTGAGCTGTGATGCTACGGCACTCTACGCAGGGGGACAGCTTGAGGCTCTGTCTCAGAAAAAAAAAGAAAGGAAGGAAGAAGGAGAAAATGAATATTGGGGTAGGCAACTAGCTGTCTCTGAATCAGATGATTTTTTTTTACTAAATTTCATTAAGGTTTTCTAAATTCTTATGGAAATGTATGATAATATAACTTTATGATTGCCAGTTTATTTTTTCCTACATATATAATGAAAGTAGAATGAGATTTAGAGGTTGCACATATAACAATAAGGACAGCAGGAGCTAATGTCAGGCATCAGTCACATGATAGATGCCTGATATTAGCTGCTGCCATCTCTGCCACCCAGGCTGCAGTGCAATGGTGTCATCATAGTTCATTGCAGCCTGGAACTGCTAGGGTCAGTCAATTTTCCTGCCTCAGCCTCCCAAGTAGCTGGGACTGCAGGTGCACACTACCACACCTGGATAATTTTTTTATTTTTGGTAGAGATGGTATCTTGCTCTTGTTCAGGCTGGTCTCAAAGTCCTGGCCTCAAACAATCCTCCCTCCTTGGCCTCCTGAGTAGCTGGGACTACATGGGCATTCATTATCATGCCCAGCTAGTTTTTTTTTTCTTTTTTCGCAGCTTTTGGCCAGGGCCAGGCTTGAACCCACCACCCCTGGTATATGGGGCCAGCGCCTTACTCCGTGAGCCATTGGTGCCTCCCATGTCCAGCTAATTTTTAAAAAAATTTTTTTGAGATAAGGTCTTGCTATATTGCCCACACTGCTACCTTTACTTTTACAAGCAAGCAATAAAAACATGTTCTAATATCAGGTAAAACATACATTTTTTAAAAAAATTAGTATCTGAACTCTTAACCCAAACCTGGTATAAAATGTTAACTTTTCAAAGGGAATTTAATGTATTTAGAAGACATTAGAGAGAAACAAAAAATCATTCTCAGAAATGGAATTTTTCTCATCTCAAAAAGCAACTAGAGGCTCTGCGCCTGTAGCTCAGTGGTTAGAGTGCTGGCCACAGACACCGAGACTGGTGGGTTTGAACCCGGCCCGGGTCGGCTAAACAACAATGACAACTTTAACAAAAAAATATCTGGGCATTGTGGCGGGCACCTGTAGTTCCAGCTACTTGGGAGGCTGAGGCAAGAGAATCGCTTAAGCCTAAGAGTCTGAAGTTGACAGGGCAACATAATGAGAATCTGTCTCAAAAAAAAAAAAAAACCCAACCAGAACGTGAGCTCCAGCTATTGAGAGAGGACTGTGAGTGAGGCGCCCCTCGCCCAGTGACTTAAAGAAAATACATCACCTGCCACGCCAGATGGGAGAGCCCTGGTGGATACTGTTAATTTTACAAGAGAAATTCTATGAATTTTAAAAGAGCGTAATTTTTTATGTGTCTACTTTCACATTTCAAAGTGAAACATTGTACTGAAAATGGAAACATCAAGAAGAAATATTCTAACAGATACATGGGTCTGTTGTTCTTCGTGTGTTGCAGGTGAAGTTGGTGATTGGAAAAATTTGTTCAGTGAAACTCAGAACCAGGAAATGGATGAAAAATTCAAAAAGAGCCTCGCAGGCACTTCCCTAGGAGCAAAGTTGAAGTATGAATCATATTGCCAGGGTTGATTTCTGATCAATTTAGGAGGCCTAGATTTTTCATTTTCCTTCATAAAAAAATTACATTTAAATAATCAAATGAACATTCAATCAAAGAATCAAATGATGATAATGAGATAACATTTAAATCTAAATAATACAGATGTATGAATAATGATAACATCTGAAATTTTTGAGCACAAATATGTCTGCTCACTTTCTGAAGAAAGGGCATTTTAGCTGCCCCCAAAGTATGTTAATGTGTCCCTTTGTAGTTTTTACTTCTTTCATGTTCTGGGTTCACATAAGAGCGTAAGCAGTTACTATCAGAAACACCTCGATCTGTGTTTGAGCGTGGATGAGACAGGTCTCCAAAAGATGTATACTCTCCTGGACTTTCCTTATAATAACTCCTTTCTCATGATGGATCAAAGCACTTGTGGTGGCTATGTCAAACTTACTGTTGGGGGAAATTTAAGTCCAATTCTGCTCTGACATAAGACGAATAAATTCCATTCTAATTTAAGAAAAATGCATTGCTCATCTACTCTATGTATGTGTATGCCACTGCATAAGGCTCCACTCCCAAGGGACTTTATATTTCTACTTAATGTAGTCTTTCATTCAATGCTAAACAAAAGAGATTATGTTATTCTACCTTAAAGGCTTTTCTGCCTCAGAGCCCCAAGTAGTCATGTGGAACTAAAAAGAGAAGATAGAGAATGTTCTAGAAGGAACCTCCTTCTATCTACCTGACACCTCTCAACTTCTTAATAATTCTCACTATTTATACTGTAGCTAGCTAGTTTCACTCTAAAACTAAGGTATGTACAATTAAGAATGGAATGATTCACAGAAATGTTAAATAAGATTTCTTTGAGAAAGGTTACAGGACTGCTATTTCTGGAAGTATGGTAGATTAGATAAACTAATAATCCTCTCCTTGAAAAGCCAAGAAATGCTTGGTGAAAATTCTTAAAAATTATTATAGATGCACAGCTCGGCTCCCAATAAAGCAAAAAAAGTCATCAAGACCCAAAACTTAAGAAGGAACTGAGAACCGATTCTTAGAGCAAGTAAGAATCAGGTGACATTAAGCCGCCACCGAGGGATTTGTGGGTAACAAAGAGGAGGGGAAATAAAGTAGAATGAGGGGGATGGGGAGGGACAACAGGGTGAGTGAGAGTCATGACTGCAATTTAAATAGTACTGGAGTGGAGGGCCTCACTGAGCAAGTGACATTGGAATAAGACCTGTGTGCCCTGCAGGTATCCGGAAGAAGAGAACTTCAGGCAAAAGAACAGCAAGGGCAAAGGCACTGTGGCAGCAGTGTACCTGGCATTCTTGAGGACAGCAAGGCCCGTGCAGTTAGAAGTGAATGAGGGGGCGGCACCTGTGGTGCAAAGGAGTAGGGCACTGGCCCCATATGCCAGAGGTGCCAGGGTTCAAACCCAGCCCCAGCCAAAAACTGCAAAAAAAAAAAAAAAAAGAAGAAGTGAATGAAGCGGGGAAATGGGGTCAGAGAGGCACCCAGGACCCTAAACATGTAGAGTCTTGTAAGCCCTTTAAGACTTTGCAGAGAAGTGACATAATGACTCCCAGGATCACTATGGCTGTTTTTTTTTTTTTTTTCTTTTTTATTGTTTGGGCTTCACTGATGGTAGCTATGGCTGGTTTTTGAGGGTAGACCCTAGAAAGGAGAAGAAGAGGGAAGGATGAAAGCCAGAAGACCCGTAAGAAATGATGGTGGCTTGGACCACAGACGCGATGCAGGGCAGTTCTACAGGTGGTCTTGGACTGACCAAGTTTCCCCCTTTCACACTTGTAGTCCTCAAGAATAACGGTGGACTGTGCCTAGAATGCAGCATCATGAGATAACGAGCAGCCAGCCAGAATAGCCGGACTCTGTTCTAGTTCGCCCTTAGATACAGACTGTTCCTTACCACTCAGTTCAGTGTGTGGCCTGGGGTGTAAAACCCAGGGTGGGTTGCTTTCTAGAATATCTGCGGTGCAAGTGGGGACACACAGGTGAAACTCCATCTGTTCAGGCAGTTTTGTTAAGCCTTAGGACACCAGTTCACAGTGAATTCCAGGCTTCTGTTGCTTGCTGCCCACCTGTAAGTTGTAAACCTGCGTCATAGAACTTGTTACGTGTGGGTATTCAGTGTCCCTGGACTGGAATAAGTTGTAACCAGCTCCCATCCAAAATGCAGGGCCCTGCCATTGCCACTGCTGCCACCACAGATGCCCTGCACTCTTGAGGAATTATAAGACAAAGGAATGAAGAAGGGGTGAGAATGGAAGCTAAAAATAACATCAAAGACAGTCTATTCCTTTTATTGATAATGGCTCAAGCAGATAACAAAACCAGACTCCACTGAATTCAACCATTCCCTCTTTTAAATGAAAACTTGCTCAGCCTGTCTCCAAAGGCTTTATACTCCTCAGTATGTCATGTTCCTCTTCTATTTAGTCACAATCCCACTCTTAAGACACTCAAACTGAACGGCTACCTTATACAATTAACTACCACTACCAAATGTCACATAAGAGGAAAGGGGAGAAGGAACTAAAAGAAATTCATTAATTCATACAAAAACAAAGCAGGGAAGAAAATATGCATAGCTTTTATGATTTTCTTTATGCAATTGGTGGTGTTTATCCCTTCCTTTTTCCATGTTCCTTTTGTCCCCAGAAAACTTTCCAGCTAGTAATGTGATGTAAACCTTTAATCCTGGAGGGCTCAGTCCTGCCTGTGTTAGAGAAGGGTGAATTTCCATTAACATTTATCACTGGACATGGAATTACCATGATGGACCCTAGAGAAACCCCTATGTTAAGGACATGCTCTTCCCTGACTTGTGCGTAGCTGCAACGCTATTTCTCCTTGGTCAATAGTATTCATCACCCAGACCGTTTGCTAGCCCCCTTATTTTCTTGATGACCTGATGGCCTGAAAAACTTGCAAAGTCAAGATGTAAGTTCAAGTTCCCCTTCAAAGAATTATTTATCCCCTGGTAGAAACAGAGCCCAGGTTCATGGCAGTAGAAAGCACTTCCTTTGCACATGTGTGATTATGTCTAATTGTGGCAGACAGCCCTTCCTCTTCTACTGTTTGCTGGGCTCATATATTTTGGCCAGGAAGACATGGCAACCTACTTTAGAGTGTATACTGCTCCTGATAGACAGTAGCTCCAACTTGCTACATGCTGTCTCCTTGGGGCTGTGACTGTCAATACTCCACCCCATTGTCCCATGAGGCCAGCTGCTTTGGGGTGATGAGGTTCATGATAAAGCCTTTGAATCCCATGGTAATCAGTGTACTGCCTCACTTATTTTTTTGTAAAATGGATTCTTTAGTGAAGCTGAAGAATGTCCAACAAAGATAGTGGCAGAAACACAGTAGGAAGGAAAAGCAAATTGAGTGTTTACTCCAAAGAATAAGTGTAGTGAAAGCTTCACTCCAAATAGAGACAAACCCCTGCCTTTTCTGGTCTACCACCAAGTGGTGGGCTGGTCTCCCTTGGACTGTGATACTCTACGGTCTCTGCCATTGGCACCTTAGGTGTTCAGCAGCCAGATCAACCTTAGTCTCTTTAGTTGTTTCAATGAGCACGAGGGTAGCTGGGGAAAAGGCTGTTATAAGTTTTCTTGCTCACCTATTTCTCAAAAACTTTCTCAGAAGTGGGTGCTTTTGGTGAATATTCACACGTGAACCCAGGTTGCTCACATTCTGTCCAAGTGATTCATCAATGTCATTTTCCCTAGACCCTCACCAGCCACCAGATCTCATTCCTTCCAAATCTCTGAACATCCAGCTAAATCGTCAGCCACTGACTCTGTAGAAGCCACTGAAGAAGGGGCCTTTGGTTCTTCTTGGGGGCCATGGTTAGGGAGTGAGCGAATAGGTTATGTATGATTAATCTACTCCAATTTCCTGACTCCCTAAGTATTTTTTATTTCTTCATTTGCATTCCTTGGCACGGCAATTTCATTTAATGTGGCGGCCACTGAGCTCAGGTTATAGTAAACCGGCAGAGCAGACGGCTTAGCTGCTGCAGCTGCTGGAGCCAGCACACTGATGTTCTTCATCTGTAGGTCGTCTTAGATCACCTCCACACAGATTTCCTGGGTTTCGGTTGATACAAAATTAGCAAACTCTTGCAACTCTTCTATGGTGTAAACCATCTCCTCTCAGATTTTTTTTTAACGTGGACAGGAAGTAGGATTTATTGATAGGCATGAATAAGGAGGTGGCTGCACAGTGGAAGCCCTCAGGAGTGCAGGGCCCGCCACTTGTCTGGGGTCTCAATCAGATCTTGTCCATACATTAACATCTGATTCTAGTGCCACGAGTGAAGACATGAGGTAGGGATGGGGCATCTGGGCAATCAGCACCTCCTTGCAAGGTAGGGTGTACCAACCTTATCGGACAGCAGTGGAAAGTCTGTGGACGTGCAACAGAATTTGGGAGGCAGTGGTACTTGGATTCATTCAAATCCACTCAAATTCCCAGGGCCTCCCTCTTTCCCAGTCAAGGCCCTCATTGTTCACAGTAGAAACCCAATAAGCCTGCAAATTAAATTTATATTGTAATTCTGCTATCTGCAGCATCAGAGGTTGTTTGTGGCAGTTATAAAAGCTTGTGTTGGCTTGTCGCCTGTGGCTCAAGTGGCTAAGGCGCCAGCCACATACACCTAAGGTGGCGGATTCAAATCCAGCCCGGGCCCACCAAACAACAATGATGGCTGCAACCAAAAAAAAAAAAAATAGCCAGGCGTTGTGGCGGGCGCCTGTGGTCCCAGCTACTTGGGAGGCTGAGGCAGGAGACTCACTTGAGCCCAGGAGTTGGAGGTTGCTGTGAGCTGTGATGCCATAGCACTCTACCCAGGGGGACAGCTTGAGGCTCTGTCTCAAAACAAAACAAAACAAAACAAAAAAGCTTGTGTCCTCTGATCATGCTTGAGCTTGTAATTTTTCTTTTTTGATACTCTCTTGGGCAGTTCAGAGTCTCAAAAATTCGGAAAACTTGTCCCTCCTACTGCCATTGCTGCTGCCACAGCCACCCCACAGCCATGAAGCTGACAAATGGACTCGTCCCAACACCTCTACTATCACAGCTTTTTTGTCACCTAGAAATGCCACAGGAAGATGGCTTTACCTTCTAACCCTCCCACCTCTGCTTCACATTTGGAGAACTCAAACCATGTCCCAGACCTGAGCATGTCCTGTCCCAGTTGAAAGTGTCTATTTCAGCTGTGGATACTCTGTAGCACAAGAACGTAGAAAAGAGGCAGAGTGGATGCCCAGGACCCAGTGTTTAATGTGTATTTGAGGTCCATCTAGGGACAGTCTTCCTCCCTCACCCCAGCTAAGGCGTTGTGAGTACAGACTCCTTGTTCTAATTTGCCTCCACTGCTTACTAGCTGTGTGACCTCAGTTTTCTCATCCACCGAATGGGGTTAGTAATGGCACCTGCCTCCCAGAGTTGCTGATGACATGGGACGGTGTGTGAGACAAGGTAAATGGGACACACACGGGACAGTGTGTGAGACACGGTAAATCCTCAATACTCCTCAGTCTCTGGGCCAATCAGCCACTGTGGCTCCACGAGTGAGTCACAAACCATCAGGAGTAGAATTTATTATAAATAGCGGGCTGCTTGGGTTGGACTTTGGTAGGAAACTCCATGAGGTCCTGTAGGAAGCCAGTGTCTCGCCTTAACGGCAGGACTCGCCCACAGGTGCTTCTTGGTACAGCAGCAGGCAAGTTTCTGCCAATAAGTGGATGGATGAGAAAGCACTGCAGGGCGATTATGCCCCCCAGCCTCTCCTGTCCAGCTTTGCTGACTGGCCGGCAGCACGAGAAACCGAGGGAGCGGCAGGATCCCGGGCGAGTTCATTGGCTCAGTTTCTCCTATTGTCAAATGCAGCCGATAATATCCACTTCCTCAAGCCCCCACCCCAAATGTTTGGGTCGAAGAGTAAGATGGGATCACAGAAAGGCGACAGGGTCCTGCCCTCCCGGCCGACCCTTCCCCGCAGGGGGTCGTGACTGTCCCCGGAGCGCGGCGGTGCAGGGCCCCGAGCCGGCGCCGCAGGATGCGCCCGCGCTCGCTCCGGGGCAGCTGCGCGCTCGTGTGGGAAGAGCCGGGCAGCGGGAGAAAAAGGCGGAGTCCGCCGGGAAAACGAAACCAAGAACCAGCCGCCCGCCCGCCGCCGCCCGCCGGGCTCCGGGGAGAGCGCAGGACGACGTGCACGCGGGTCGCAAGTCCCCAGTCCTCCCGCAGCCTCGGTGCAGTGCCCTTCCCGGATCTTGGGAAAGGATCGAGAAACGCGGTGGGAACTGAAAGCCATTTTCTTCCTACGAAGAATTTTCATCAGTGCAGGTAAAAACTATCTCCCTGGCAGCGGGGTGGGGGTGGGGGCGTGGGGGTGTCCTAGGTGAAGACGTATCGTTCCGTGGAGCTACGGACAGATGGAAGACATAGGCCTGAAATACACATAGATTGGCTAAATAATCTCCGGAAAAAAAAAATCTCTTACCTTCAGGGTTGCAGTAGCCCCCAGTTGCCCAGCCTCAGCTGGTGTCCCCACTCTGGCCCCTACTCCACACCGCCACCCCATTAAATCTTCTCTATCCTTAAGCATCCATGTGGTTCCTTTAAGTCAGAACCAGACACTGCTTGACTCAGGCGCCCCCAGATCTTCCTGTCTCATCAGAATTCTGTAAGCGTTTATTAGGGCCAGGCAGGCCTCTAGACACGGTGGCTTCCTTGTTGTCCCCAGGGCACAGCCAGGACTGCTCCAGTCCCTAGGCCTTTGCCCTTTCTTCTTCCTAGAAAGCTCTTTCCCAGACACCTGCTTGGGCACATCCCTTACTTTATCCTGCACTTCTTCCAATGCCAGCTTCCCAGAACAGCCTTCCCCCAACAACATGCAAATACAGAAGCCCTGCTGTGCCCTTATGGTCCTCCTTAGACCAGGCCACTTGAGTAGTTCTTACCACCTTGTGAAGTTTTCTCTTGGGGTTGAGTTCCTCCCCTAGGAAGTTCAAGGTAGCAGGGTTTCATTCATCAGCACCTGGTATATAACAAGTGTTTACTAATTATTTGTCTAATGAATGATAATTCCTAAGTTCTTTTTTGAATTCTCGAATAATCAGTCTTCCTATTGGAAGTGTTCATGTTTTCTTTAGTCCTAAAAATGCTTGCCAGATGGAAGCTAAGAGACATGCTTTCTGCTATTCCTTAAGAATGTAGACTTTTGGCGGCACTCGTCGCTCAATGGGTAGGGCCTCAGCCACATACACTGAGCCTGGAGCGTTGGACTCCAGCCTGAACCAGCTAAAGCAACAATGACAATTGCAGCAGAAAAATAGTCGGGTGTTGTGGCGGACGCCTGTAGTCCCAGCTACTTGGGAGGCTGAGGTGAGAGAATCAATTAAGCCCAAGAGTTTGAGGTTGCTGTGAGCTGTGACGCTACAACACTCTATTCAGGGTGACAGCTTGACACTCTGTCTCAAAAAAAAAAAAAAGAATGTAGACTCTTGGGTAGATTATGCTCTTGTTCTTCAGTTTGCTTATTTGACGTGAAGATCGTTAAATCATTTATAAAATAGGTACTGGTTGAATGCATGTTTGCGTGAAGTATGGTGTGTGACCTGCAGGGGGCTCAGCCCACAGGGAGCCCAAAGGAAATGAAGGCACAGGCAGAATAATTTATGGGGATGAATAAGATGGACAAATACCATTTGTTAGTGATTGAGATGGAGATTTCTTTTAGATGATGAGTAAGACATAGAACTTGCTCCCCAAAGGGCTCACTGATTAGTTGAAAAAGCAGTGAGAGCTGTGATGAGGCCTGGCAAGGTAGAGTGGCAGCCCATGACGGGTACTAGCTGCCCCTAGGGCCATGAAAGAAGGCTGTGCGTATCCGATACATGAATGGAGAGTGCTTGGTAGATAAAGGATGCAGACACTGCCTCTCAAGCTTAGAGAAAGGCAAGTGACAACTCTCGGGGAGGGGGATATTTTGGTATGCGTTATTAGGTGCCTGTTATAAGCTTGGTTCCCTTCACTCTTGTAATTCATAGTTTAGTTTAGAAAACAGTGAAATAAACAACTGTAATAAAGAGGACAATGCAAGAGCCAATGGCTCTGTGAACGAGCCATGAAAGAGTAACTGGGATTTTGAACTGGTATCTGTAGGAGGCAGGGGGTGACCAGGCAAAGGCATTGTAAAGGGGAATAGCCAAGAGCATTTTAGTAGGGAAGAGGGTTGGACAGAGGCAGGTAGGGGCTCAAGAAAGAGTCAGTGGTGAGGGAGGCACCTGTGGCTCAAGGGAGTAGAGCCCCAGCCCCATATGGTGGAGGTGACAGGTTCAAACTCAGGCCTGGCCAAAAACTGCAAAAAAAAAGTCAATGGTGAGGATATACTTTTGAGAGCCACCACTGTGTGGGTGGAGTTTCAAGCCACAAATCTGGAGGTGGTCACCAGGGGAGTGTGAGCAGAGAAGAGCATGTCTAAGGCCTGGACCCCGGGACATTACAATATCTAGAAGAAAGGCAGATGAAGAGGAACCAGAAAAGAAGCAGCGTGTGAGAAAGGAAGAGAGCAATGAGAGTGGGTGTCTAGAAGGCCAAGCTAAGACAGGGGGCAGAGGGAGAAGGGAACGAACAGCCATATCAGATGCTGGTAGACAAGGACTTAGAACTGCCTATTAGACTTAGCAATGGAGAAGCTTTATTTGTCCAGGAGATGTAAGTGTCTGATTCTCTTATATGAAACACCTAATATGATAGGCAAATTATAGAGATAGAAAGTAGCAGGACCTGAAAAGAGGAAGAAGTGGGAAGTTATTGTTTAAGGGGACAGACCTTCTGTTTGGCAAGATGAAAAAGAATACTGGAGTTGGCCCTGGTGATGGCTGTATAACATCGTGAATGTACGTAATGCTAGTGAATTGTACACTGGAAAAAAATGGTTAAAAGGCTACATTTCATGTTATGTATATTTAACACACATTTAAAATGTAAAACAAAGAAAAGATCATGATGGCTGCAGGCACAGAATAGAGAAGGAATTGAAGTAGCTGTAGAGATTGTTTCTGAGATTCTTAGAGCAGTCCGGGAGTGAGGTGTTGGTGGCTTGAAGCAGGATAAAAGCTGTAGACATGGTTTAGAAGTAGAGTTTTGGTAATGGGACCTAGATGAAAAGGTAAAGAGAGGAAGTGCCTCTCACATACGTGGTTTTCAGACTTGAATGAATGGTGGAATCATTTTCTGAGAAAGGAAACTCCAAAACAGCTTGGGGAAGGAAGCTGATAAATGCAGGTTTAGATATTTTGGGTTTAAAGTTCATACAAGGTGGGGTGCTCCCACCTAAAGGACACAATGTAAGGGTGCAGAACACAACTACAACAGGGACTTTATACAGGCACACATTGTAACCTAATCGTTTGTACCCTCGTATTAATCTGAAATAAAAAAAGAATAAAGTTCATGCAAGACATTCAAATGGAGAACGATCTAAAACTCAGGGAGGGATTCATAAAGGATATGTAAATTTTAGAGGTAATGACATGTAGAGATCATGGACATGAAAGAGAAATCACTTTAAGGAAAAAGTATAAAGTGGGCTCGGTGCCTGTGGCTCAGTCGGCTAAGGCGCCAGCCACATACACCTAAGGTGGCGGGTTCGAATCCCCAGCCCGGGCCTGCCAAACAACAGTGATGGCTGCAACCAAAAAATGGCCGGCGCTGTGGCGGGCCCCTGT